GTATGAGCCCAGTAGCTTAATTAGCTTATCTTTTTATAATTATATTTTGGTGTATGATGCACAAAAGTTTTTGATGCTTTTAGAAATAGTTTAATTCTATTAAATATAATGAATGTAATATTATTACATGATTTACCCTATCAAGGTAATCCTTTTTATCAGGCAATTCATTAAAAGTAGGTTTCTCATGTTTTTTTTTTCTTTATACTAAAATTTTTGAAAAAGAAATATTTTTTTTATTATTATAATTTATTTAATACAAAAATATATAATAATTAATAAATTATTTATATAATTAATATAAATAACTATCCCATACTTAATAAATTATTTTTTTTAATAAATCAATTTCAACATAATAATTAGATAAATACTTATTAATAAAGATTTAATTAGTGATATTCTTAATTGAATTTAAATTTTTTTTGATCTAAATTAATAGATATCTATTAATTAATTAAATATTTATATATTAAGAGATATCTATTAATCTATATTGGTATATAGACTAAAATTCAGATTTTGCACGCTTCAATATAAAATTTGAGAGGTATAAATGTAGAAAATGTTTTATATTATAATATTTAAAAAAAAAAAAAAATAGATCCTTTTTAATTTATGGTTTTTTTTAATATATTCATATATATTTATGTTAAAAATTTATTTACTAATTTAATTTATATATATTGAAAGTAAGTTATAAATATTTTATTTAATAAATTTATTATACATATATGAAAGTTATTAGGGGATAACTAAATTTTTATTGTGTGAGTATTTACCAATTTATAATTATTTTAATGAATTAAAAAATATTTATTAGTAAATAAATAATTACTAATTTTTATTATTAACAACTTTAATTAATTTATTTATTTAATAAAATAAAGAATAAATATTAATAGGGGTAATATTTTATTAATTTATTAAATAAGTATTTATATATGAGTAATTACCAATTTTTGATTATTAAAATTAATAATTAATTATGATTATATAAAGAAAATTTTATTATTAGAAATTATTTATTTAAATTAAATTATAATTTTAATTTACTAATTTAATTTATTAAAAATTCAGTTAAATTAAAATTTTTAATTAGTTGTATAAAGTTTTATTTTGGCTTGTAAATTTATTATTAGTTTAATTTATATGTAAATTTTTATATGAATATTTATTTATTTTAATAATAAATATTTTTTTTTATCCGCAGTAATTAATATTATTAATTAAGGAAACTTAGAAATAGTAATACTAAAGAGTATTGGCTAAATTTGTACCAGCAGCCGCGGTTATATGAATAATGCAAATAGATTTTTTTTAGTTGAAGTTAAATTGTTTATTTATAAAATAAAAATAAATTTATTAGGTGAAATTTTAAATTTATAAAATTTTTTATTAGAATAATTGAAGCTTAAAAATTTTAGTAATAAACTAGGATTAGATACCCTATTATTTAAAATGTAAATTAAAAAACTAAGGTAGTAGTAGTTATGTTCTTTAAACTTAAAAAATTTGGCGGTATTTTAGTCTATTCAGAGGAACCTGTTCTGTAATCGATAATCCACGATGGACCTTACTTAAGTTTGTAATCAGTTTATATACCGTCGTTATTAGAATATTTTATAAGAATGTTAATTTTCAAAATTTTTTAAAAGAAAATATATCAGATCAAGGTGTAGCTAATATTTAAGTAGAAATGGGTTACAATAAATTTATTTAAACGGATATAAATTTGAAATATTTATTGAAGGTGGATTTGATAGTAAAATTATAAAGATTAATAATTTGATTTTAGCTCTAAAATATGCACACATCGCCCGTCACTCTTACTACTGAGGTAAGATAAGTCGTAACATAGTAGATGTACTGGAAAGTGTACCTAGAATGCAATTTAAAGCTTATTTAGTAAAGTATTTCATATACATTGAAAAGATTTTTGTGCAAATCAATATAAATTGATTAGATTTTATTTATTAATAATTTTTTTTATATTTTAAATTATTAAAAATAATTATAAATTGAATTGTTTTAGTATTTAATAAAGAAAAAATAATATTAATTATAGTGTAATAGTATTGTGAAAGAAAATTGAAATAATTTGAAAAATTTTTATTTTAAAAGAAAATTTAATTTATTGTACCTTGTGCATCAGGGTTTATCAAATAAAAATTATTTAAAATAATTTTCTCGATTTTAAAAGAGTTAATATATTATGAAAGTTAATGTGGCAAAATTATTTTTAATAATATATTAGAAATGAAATGTTATTCGTTTTTAAAGGTATCTAGTTCTTTAAGAAATAAATTTAATTTAGAAATTTTATATTATTTAATTAAATAAATTAATTAAATAAATATTTAATTTTAATATTTTATGGGATAAGCTGTAAAATAAATTTTTAAAAATAAATAAATATATTAATAAATATAAGCTTAGAAATAGCTATTATTAATAAAAGTGTTATAATTTATTTTATAATAATTATTATTTATTAAAATTTTAAATTTTTATTAAAGTATTCATTTTGATAATTAAAATTAAAAAATTATGATAAAATTAGTATATTAAAATGTATAAATAAATATAAATGAAAAGTTTTTATAAAGAACTCGGCAAAAATAATGTTCGCCTGTTTAACAAAAACATGTCTTTTTGATTTTTTTTTAAAGTCTGACCTGCCCACTGAAATATTTTAAATGGCCGCAGTATACTAACTGTGCAAAGGTAGCATAATCATTAGTCTTTTAATTGAAGGCTGGTATGAATGGTTGGACGAGATATTGACTCTTTCATGAAAATTTATAATAGAATTTTATTTTTTAGTCAAAAAGCTAAAATTTATTTAAAAGACGAGAAGACCCTATAAATAGAAAAAAAGATTGCGACCGATGTTGCGATCGATGTTGGATTAAGATATAATTTTAGGTGTAGCCAATTAAATTTTAAGTCTGTTCGACTTTTAAATTCTTACATGATCTGAGTTCAAACCGGCGTAAGCCAGGTTGGTTTTTATCTTTAAAAAATGAAAATATTTCAGTACGAAATATTTGATAAATTATTATTTTTATATTGAATATAATTAATATAATTACTATTTTGGCAGATTAGTGCAATAAATTTAGAATTTATTTATGTAATTTTTATTACACTTATCCTTTATTGTCTAATTATATTTCTTATTATTTTTCATCAATTTTTTCATTATTTTTGTCTTTATTGGTTTGAATATGTATACCTATATTTGTTAAGCTTTTTTCGTTTAATTTAGGTTTGTTATTTTTTCTTTGTTGTACAAGTTTAGTTGTTTATACAGTAATAATTGCAGGTTGATCTTCAAATTCAAATTATGCTTTATTAGGAGGTTTACGAGCTGTTGCTCAAACTATTTCTTATGAAGTTAGATTAGCTTTAGTATTATTAAGTTTTATTTTTTTAATTGGGGGTTATAATATGTTAATATTTTATAAGTATCAAATATTTATTTGATTTTTATTTATTATATTTCCTATAGCTTTAGTATGATTTAGAATTTCTTTAGCTGAAACTAATCGAACTCCTTTTGATTTTGCTGAAGGAGAATCAGAATTAGTTTCTGGATTTAATGTAGAATATAGAAGAGGAGGATTTGCTTTAATTTTTTTAGCAGAATATGCAAGTATTTTGTTTATAAGAATATTATTTTGTGTAATATTTTTGGGAAGTGATGTTTTTCATGTTTTTTTTTTATGTTAAATTAACATTTGTTTCTTTTATATTTATTTGAGTTCGTGAACATTACCTCGATTTTGATATGATAAATTAATATATTTAGCTTGAAAGAGTTTTTTACCTTTTTCATTAAATTTTTTATTATTTTTTGTAGGGTTTAAGATTTTTTTATTTTATTTAATTTAATGAATTAATTTTAGTAAAGTTAATAGAAAATTTGATTTCTATCTTATGTTTTCAAAACATATGCTTATTTCAAGCTCATTAACTAATTTAATAAATTATCTCATCATTTAATAATTAAAGGATTAAATATGAAATATGCAAAGTAAAAATTTGTCCTATTAAAACATAAGGTTCTTCAACTGGTCGAGCTCCAATTCATGTTAATAAGATTACTGTTACTACTATTACTCAGAATAAAATTTGATTAATAGGGTAAAATTGAATTCCTCGGAATTTTCTTAAATGATAAAATGGTAAAATAGCTAAAATTGCAATAAAAAGAACTAGAGCAATTACTCCTCCTAATTTATTAGAAATTGAACGTAAAATAGCATAAGCAAATAAGAAATATCATTCTGGTTGAATATGAACTGGTGTTACTAATGGATTAGCAGGAATAAAATTATCAGGATCTCCTAAAAGGTAAGGATTAATTAATACTAATAGAAGTAAAATTATTGTTATAACGATAAATCCTACAATATCCTTGAAAGTGAAGTATGGGTGGAATGGAATTTTATCAATATTAGAGTTTAATCCTATAGGGTTATTTGATCCAGTTTCATGTAAAAATAAAATGTGAATTAATGTTGCAGCTAATACAATGAATGATAAATTGAAATGGAATGTAAAAAATCGAGTTAATGTAGCGTTATCTACAGCAAATCCTCCTCATACTCATTGAACTAAATCAATACTTAGGTAAGGGATGGCTGATAATAAATTAGTAATAACTGTAGCTCCTCAAAAAGATATTTGACCTCATGGTAAAACATATCCTATAAATGCTGTTCCTATAACTAAAAATAAGATAATTACTCCTACTAGTCAAGTTGGAGTAAATAAGTATGATCCGTAATAAATTCCTCGTCCTACATGTAAATAAATACAAATAAAGAAAAATGATGCACCATTAGCATGTATAGTTCGTAGTAATCATCCATAATTTAAATCTCGACAAATATGATTAACTCTATTAAAAGCTAAATTAATATCTGCAGTATAATGTGTTGCTAAAAATAAACCAGTTAAAATTTGAATTATTAAACATTTGATTCGTAAAGGTTTGTTCATTAGTTAAATATTGGTCGAAGAGGACCCTTAAATAATTTAGTAATTTTAACTACAGCAATTAATGTAATTAATAAGTAATTTATTAATAAAATTGTTAATAAATTAGTTGGATAATTATATAATTTATTAAGAGATAAAGAATTTTCTATTAAGTAAGAATTTATATCATAAATAGATTTAACTTCTAAATTTTGGTATTGTAGTAAAATATTTTTGTCTATAAAAAATAATGTAATTATTATTACAGAAAATATTCTTAATGAAATAAATAATAATTTAATTGAAAATGAAAATATTTCGTTTGATGCTAAAGAAGTTACATAAATAAATAAAACTAATATACCTCCTAAGAATACTAAAAATAAAATATATGAAAATCAAAATCTTTTAGTTATAAGACCTGATGTTAAAGTTACTAATGTAGTTTGGATTAATAGAGTTAATCCTATTGCTAATGGATGTTTTATATTTATAAAAATAAAATTAAAAATAATTAAAAGTGTTAATAAAATTCATTGTATAATATCAAGAGGTAGTTTAATTAAAATATTAATTTTGGGGATTAATGATAAAGAAATTTCTTTTCTCTTGAAGTTTTAAAAGAAATAACCTTATTTTTGATTTACAAGACCAATGTTTTTGTTAAACTATTAAAACTAATGATAGCAATTTTAAATTGAAGCTTACCAAGTATTTTATTTATTATAGGAGTATTTACTTTTGTTTCTAATCGAAAGCATTTATTACCTATATTGTTAAGATTAGAATATATTGTTTTAAGATTATTTCTTTTATTATTTATTTATTTAAATATATTAAATTATGAAAATTTTTTTAGAATAATATTTTTAACTTTTAGTGTATGTGAAGGAGCATTAGGTCTTCAATTTTAGTATCAATAATTCGTACTCATGGAAATGATTATTTTCAAAGATTTAATATTTTACAATGTTAAAAATTATTATTAGAATTTTGTTTTTATTTCCGTTGTGTTTAATATATAATACTTATTGAATGGTACAAAGTTTATTATTTTTATTAAGTTTTGTTTTTATTTTAATAAATATGTATAGAAATTATTTTATATCAATTTCTTATTTATTTGGATGTGATATAATTTCTTATGGATTAATTTTATTAAGATTATGAATTGTGTCTTTAATATTAATGGCTAGTGAATCTATTTATAAGTATAGAAATTATACTAATTTATTTTTATTAAATATTGTTTTATTAATAATTTTATTAGTATTAACTTTTAGTAGAATAAGATTATTTATGTTTTATTTATTTTTTGAAAGTAGATTAATTCCTACTTTGTTTTTAATTTTAGGGTGAGGTTATCAACCTGAACGTTTACAAGCGGGGGTATATTTATTATTTTATACTTTATTAGTTTCTTTACCAATATTAGTTGGTATTTTTTATTTATATAAGGCTACTGGGACTTTAAACTTTTATTTATTAAATAATTATATATTTAATTATGAAATTCTTTATTTTTCTTTAGTTATGGCTTTTTTAGTAAAAATACCTATATTTTTAGTTCATTTATGATTACCTAAGGCTCATGTATGGTTCAATAATTTTAGCTGGAATTATATTAAAGTTAGGGGGTTATGGATTATTACGAGTATTTCCTTTTTTACAATTACTAGGATTAAAATTTAATTTTATTTGAATTAGATTAGTAGGAGGAGTATTAGTTAGATTAATTTGTTTACGTCAAACAGATTTAAAGGCTTTAATTGCTTATTCTTCAGTTGCTCATATAGGAATTGTATTAGCTGGATTAATAACTTTAACTTATATAGGAATTTGCTCATATAATATTTGCTCATGGTTTATGTTCTTCAGGATTATTTTGTTTGGCTAATATTTCTTATGAACGAACAGGAAGACGAAGATTATTAATTAATAAGGGGATATTAAATTTTATACCTTCTATAGCATTATGATGATTTTTATTAAGATCTGCTAATATAGCTGCTCCACCTACTCTAAATTTATTAGGAGAAATTTCTTTAATTAATAGAATTGTTAGTTGATCATGAGTTTCTATATTTATATTATCATTATTGTCTTTTTTTAGAGCTGCTTATACTTTATATTTATATGCTTATAGTCAACACGGTAAAATTTTTTCTGGAATTTATTCTTTTAGAGGAGGTTCTGTTCGAGAATTTTTACTTTTATTTTTACATTGGTTTCCTTTAAATTTGTTAATTTTAAAGGGTGATATATGTATGTTATGATTATGTTTAAATAGTTTAATAAAAATATTGATTTGTGGTGTCAATGATAAGAGATTTTCTTTTTAAACCGTGAAATATATATCAATTTGTACAATTAGTTTTGTAAGATTATTTTTTTTAGATTATTTTCTTTTTTTATAGGACTTGTTTTTATTATAAATGATTATAGAATTTTTATTGAGTGGGAAGTTGTTTCGATAAATTCAATAAATATTGTTATAACTTTATTATTTGATTGAATAAGTTTAATTTTTATATCTTTTGTTTTAATAATTTCTTCGTTAGTTATTTTTTATAGTAAGGAATATATAGAAAGTGATTATAAAATTAATCGATTTATTATATTAGTATTAATATTTGTTACTTCTATAATGTTATTAATTATTAGTCCTAATTTAATTAGTATTTTATTAGGATGAGATGGTTTGGGATTAGTTTCATATTGTTTAGTAATTTATTTTCAAAATGTTAAGTCTTATAATGCTGGTATATTAACAGCTTTATCTAATCGAATTGGTGATGTTGCTCTTTTATTAGCTATTGCTTGAATATTAAATTATGGGAGTTGAAATTATATTTTTTATTTAGAAGTAATAAAAAGTAATATAGAAATAATAATTGTAGGAGGATTAGTTATGTTAGCTGCAATAACTAAAAGAGCTCAAATTCCTTTTTCTTCTTGATTACCAGCTGTTATAGCAGCTCATACACCAGTTTCAGCTTTAGTTCATTCTTCAACTTTGGTAACTGCTGGTGTTTATTTATTAATTCGATTTAATATTTTATTAAGAAGTTCATGATTGGGTAATTTATTATTATTATTATCTGGATTAACAATATTTATAGCAGGGTTAGGAGCTAATTATGAATTTGATTTAAAGAAAATTATTGCTTTATCTACTTTAAGACAATTAGGGTTAATAATAAGAATTTTATCAATAGGTTATTATAAGTTAGCATTTTTTCATTTATTAACTCATGCTTTATTTAAGGCTTTATTATTTATATGTGCTGGAGCTATTATTCATAATATAAATAATTCTCAAGATATTCGATTAATGGGAAGTTTAAGATCAATAATACCATTAACTTCTTCTTGTTTTAATGTAGCTAATTTAGCTTTATGTGGTATACCTTTTTTAGCTGGATTTTATTCTAAGGATTTAATTTTAGAAACAGTTTCTTTATCTTATATTAATATATTTTCTTTTTTTCTTTATTTTTTTTTCAACAGGTTTAACTGTATGTTATTCTTTTCGGTTAGTTTATTATACAATAACTGGTGATTCTAATTTTTCTTCTTTAAATATATTAAATGATGAAGGTTGAGTAATATTGAAAAGTATAATAGGTTTATTAATTTTAAGAATTTTTGGTGGGAGAATATTAAGATGATTAATTTTTCCTACACCTATAGTAGTTGTTCTTCCTTCTTATTTAAAATTATTAACATTATTTGTTTGTATTGTTGGGGGGATTATAGGTTATATAATTTCTAACGTTTCTTTATTTTTTTATAACAAGGCTTTAAATAATTATAATTTTTCTTATTTTTTAGGTTCTATGTGGTTTATACCTTATATTTCTACTTATGGAATTATTAATTATTCTTTAATTGTTGGAAATATAGTAGTTAAATCATTTGAATCATTAAATCAAGGTTGATCAGAATATTTTGGAGGTCAACAATTGTATTTAAATTTAGTTAAAAATTCTCAATTAAATCAAATATTACAAAATAATAATTTAAAGATTTATTTATTAAGTTTTATTTTTTGAACTATAATTTTATATATGTATATAATTTATTTATATTCAAATAGCTTATATTTAGAGTATGACACTGAAGATGTTAGGGAGATTGATTTAATCTTTGAATATAGTGAATTTTTTTTAGTAATTTATAAAAAAAAATATTTTTAATTTTACAATGAAAATGTAATGTTTTTATTAAACTATATAAATAAAGAAGTATAAATGGAATTTAACCATTAAAAGAAAAAAGTTAGCAGCTTTTACAATTAAAGAATAAGGGTAAAATTACCTAAGATTAGGTCGAAACTAATTGCAATAAATCGCTTCATATTCAAGGTAGATTGAAATTTCAATACTTTTTGAATGCAAATCAAATGTTATAATTAACTACAACCCTAATTAATTTGATCAGTTTAATATTCCTTGATTTCATTCATGATAAAGACCTAGTAATAAAATTAGAATAAAAATAATTGATGTAATTGTTCATATTATTAAATTAGAAAATTTAATAATTAAGATAATAGGAAGAATTAAAGCAATTTCTACATCAAAAATAAGAAAAATAATTGTAATTAAAAAAAACGGAAGTGAAAAAGGTAACCGAGAAGATGATTTTGGGTCAAATCCACATTCAAATGGGGATGCTTTTTCTCGATCAACTAATGTTTTTTTTGAAAGAATTGAGGCTAGTAATATTACTACAATTGAAATTAATAAAATAATTGAACTAATTGTTAAAATTGATAAAATTATCTATACTATTAATAATAGACCATATGATTGGAAGTCAAAGATACTTTTTATACTATATAGATTAATTAATTAACCTCCTCATCAGTAAATTGAAACATAAAGGAATAATCAAACAATATCAACATGTCAATATCAAGCTGCAGCTTCAAATCCAAAATGATGATTTTTAGAAAAATGATTGTTTAAGTGACGAATTAAACATACTAATAAAAAAGTAGTTCCAATTAAAACATGAACTCCATGGAATCCTGTTGCTATAAAAAATGTTGAACCATAAACAGAGTCAGCAATTGCAAATGGAGCTTCAATATATTCGTATGCTTGAAGAATAGTAAAATAAATTCCTAAAATCCTTGAGTAGTTTTGGAGTGATTTCCTTCCATTAAACTATGATGAGCTCAAGTTACAGTAATTCCTGAAGTTAATAAAATTACTGTATGTAATAAAGGAATTTGAAATGGATTAAATGGAGTAATTCCTATAGGAGGTCATATAACTCCTAATTCAATTGATGGAGAAAGACTACTATGAAAAAAAGCTCAAAAGAATGAAACAAAAAATAAAACTTCTGATAAAATAAATAAAATTATTCCTCATCGTAAACCGGTAGTTACTGCGTCAGTATGAAGACCTTGAAAAGTTCCTTCTCGAGAAACATCTCGTCATCATTGGTAAACAGTTAAGATAGTAATAATATTACCTAATAAGAATAATGAAACATCATATTGATGGAATCACTTTACTATTCCAGCGACAGTTGTTATAGCTCCAATTGAAGCTGTTAATGGTCATGGACTATAATCTACTAAGTGAAATGGGTGGTTTGAGTGAGTTGACATTAGTTTACTTCACTAGAATATAGAGTTCTAAGAACAGCAAATACATAAGATTGAATTATAGCAACAGCTGATTCAAGAACTAATAAAGCAATTTGTGTAATAATTAAAAGTCTTAATAAAATTGTTGATATAGAAGGACCTGTATTACCTAAAAGAGTTAATAATAAATGTCCAGCAATTATATTAGCTGTTAGTCGAACAGCTAAAGTACCTGGTCGAATTACATTACTAATTGTTTCAATGCAAACCATAAAAGGTATTAAAACTGCTGGAGTTCCTTGAGGTACTAAATGAGCAAATATGTGTTGTGTATTATTAATTCATCTAAATAATATAAAACATAATCATAAAGGAAGAGCTAAAGTAAGAGTTAAAGTTAAATGACTTGTACTTGTGAAAATGTAAGGAAATAATCCTATAAAATTATTAAAAAGAATTATAGAAAATAATGAAACGAAAATAAAAGTTGATCCATTAGCTCCTATAGGTCCTAAAAGAGTTTTGAATTCTTTATGAAGAGTTAATAAAATATTATTTCAAAAAATATGGTAACGAGAAGGTATTAGTCAATATCTAGAAGGAATTATTAAAATTCCTAAAAATGTTCTTAATCAATTTAATGATAAATTAAAAATACTAGAAGAAGGGTCAAATACTGAAAATAAATTTGTTATCATTTTCAATTTAATGAATTTGTAGATTGTGTTTTATTAATTAAATTTGATTTAGGTATAGAAGGAATAAATGAATAATAATTTATTACATTAAAAATTACAAAAGCAATTGAAAAAATAATAAATAAGCTTAATCAACCAATAGGTGCTATTTGAGGAATTAAAAAATATCAATAAATTGTTAATTTTAGTTTGACAAACTAATGTTATATATTTAACTAATTTTTTCATTAGAAGTAAGTGCTAATTTACTATAAAATGGTTTAAGAGACCAGTACTTGCTTTCAGTCATCTAATGAAGAATTTATATTATTAGAAATTCATTTAATAAAGTAATTTACTGGAATTCTTTCAATTACAATTGGTATAAAACTATGATTAGCTCCACAAATTTCTGAACATTGTCCGTAAAATAAACCTGGTCGGTTAATTAAAAAATTTGTTTGATTTAGTCGACCAGGAGTTCCATCTACCTTTACTCCTAGTGCTGGGATAGTTCAAGAATGAATTACATCAGCGGCAGTTACTAAAATTCGAACTTGAGAATTTATTGGTAAAACTA